AAAAAAAAGATAATTTGACCCCCAAAATTAAATAAATAAATGCAGAGAGAAAGGACGTCCTGAAGCTCCAGTATTTAAGTGGGTCTCTGATCACCACAGCACCGGATCAGAACACATTTTGAAGACAAAAAAATATATATATTTTATATATTTTTATAATATATAAAAATATAAATATATTTTGGGGCTGAGCTATTTCCCCAGAGAGAATGCAGTTCCTGGAGGTACTACAATACCAGGTCAATGTATGGAGTGGGCTGAGTAGGCTCCTATCCTTCTCCCTGCTCCAAAACTCCGTCATATACAGCCCTTCGACAGAGGACTTATCAGCTGTGAACTGACACGAGCAGACGCTACATTTGATCTTGGCCCAAAGGCTGATAAGCAATGAGAAGAACATTATTTTTCACTCACATTCTTTTTTCTTTTAAATTCTTCATGGATCCTTGAAATTCTTTCATGCTCCTAGAAATAAAATATGATATAACTGAAATGTACATTAGTAGCAGTATGTGTGATATTAATTGTAAAATTAGATATTATTATTAATATATATGATAAAATACATCGCATAACATTTGCATTTACTCAATCCATTTCTCATGGATGTCTAAAAGGTAAACTAGGAATCGGATTAGAAACCCAATTTTTATATCACACTATAGTGGAAATACTTAACACATAAAAATTCAGTCACTGGACACATAGCTGAGGGCTCACCATGGGCCAGAGACTAGGAGCCAGAGGCCTGGGGCAAGGAAGCAGACTTGAGGCCCACCACCGCTGCTTGCCAGCGGTGTGAACCTGCACAATGGTCTATCCAGGTCAGCCAGTTTCAGGTAGCCGGGCACAGTGGGCGAGAAGCATGGACTGCTAACCGGCAGGGGAAGGTGAGGTCGTCTGCTTGTACGCTCGCTCATCTCCTGTCTCAGTAACCCTCCGCTGTGGTCAGCTCGGTCTTACCGGGTTTGCGATGAGTCATGATCAACTTGATGGCGGTGGTTTTGCTTTGGGCAGCTTTTTTCAGTCTCAGCAAAATGGAAGTAGCAATCACACAGTGGGAGGTGGTTTACTTACATGGAGTGAGCCTTTTAAGAACCGCAGTATGAGCTAGTGATGAGGACCATCTAATCTCGCTTGGGAAATTATTTCTCAAGGTATTAGGTGTTATTATTAGGCTGACACCACCAACTTTTGAACAATGCGAATGTAAAGTTTCTTTTCATTGATATGATCAGTGTGCACATTTTAGAAGTCTACCCAGAAGAAGAGGTAACTAGGAGTCGTGCTGTAATTTTCCATGGAAATTTATGCCTAGAGATTATCAGAGAGAGCACACCTAATAAATAACAAATGAAACTAACCACCTATAGTTTAAAAGTGCCCACTGAGGACAGTCTCCATTATCTACTTTCTCTTCTCACTGTATTTTAATGCTCCAGTGTCTGTGACATACTAAAGTCATGAGTGATGCTTGTGCGCTGACTGCTTTCCAACAAAAGGGTGAATGACAATCTGGCGTGTCTCCATTACTAGGTCTTGGGCTAGGCGGGAGCTAGTTTCCTGGGGCTATGCTTTAGGAGTGGCCAGAGGCCAGGGTGGTAGTCTCTCTTCCAGTCCGGCACACAGACAAAATTTAAGGGGTGCTGAGGACCAGACGGGTTATTTTGGGCAATGCTTCCATTTTACGGGCTTGTAAAAGTCATGTGATTCCTTTATTTTTGATAGACAAATACCCGGTACGTGGACAACCTGTGGCTCTACACAGGTCCACTGAGTTCATTCTAAACCATCCCAAGCACCCAAGGGACACGTTGGGAAAATGACCCTAGTATGGTCACAGATCCCTTGGCTATGGCAAAGCTCACACGGTCTGTGGCCAATGAGATGTTAATTTTTGTGAAACAATGGATATTTCTTCTTTAGACAAGGACAGGAGACTGATCATTGTGGGCCTGTCACTGGCTACCTTCTTACCAGGGCAGCTTATAAATCAGAGGAAATGCCTGTCGTTGATCTTGTGTGAGAACGTCACGGGAAGAAGACTCTTGCTATAATCAGAATGGCAGCCCCACCTGAAAACGCCTATGCCTGGGTCCCTGCCACTCACAAAACAGATAAGCCAGAGGCCACTCGACCCATGTTCAGAGACTACAGGCCACTGTCGGGTTTTTCAGGGCCCGTTCTTCCAACCAGCTTGCCCTTCCCCTATGCTTGGGCTTGCTTATTGCACGGTTCCACACCTGACCAGCCTTCTAGGACCTGTGGATCCTAGCTTGCTTTTAAAATGGTGCTAAATGATGCGCCACCTTCAGCATTTACTGGATTTTTCTTGCATCCTGGTGCTGGCATCTCTTAGCCAACACTAGGGTATACCCCAGTGTTAAGAATGTGTTACTACTATGCAGTGAGCTCAGATAACGTATATTACTATTAAAGTTCTGTAGGCAAAACAGACATGGTCAGCTACTATAAATCCTTGGGAGAGACTATATGTCAGAGCAATCTTGGCTGAAAACAGAGAATACCAAAATATTTATGTGTCCTTGACTGCACAAAGACATTCAACTGTGCAGATCACAACAACATTGATGAATATGAATAACTTAACAAGATTACGAGTAACACCCTAACAACATTATGAACAACATTGCAAACGATGGGAATTCCAGGACACTTGGTGGTGCGAGTGTGAAATCTGGTCACAGACCTAGAGGCAGCCATTCAAGCCCAACAAGGAAATACTGTGTGGTTTAGAAGCAGGAGATGTATGTGTTGGGGGTTGTTTCCGTTCACCATATTGATTCGATCTGGGTGCTGCACAAATCATCTCAGAGGCTGGACTACATGGAGAAGGAAGCGGCATCAGGAAGAGTCCTGAATGCCCTGTGATATGCAGAGGCCACAGCTTTGCGTGCTGAACGCGAAGAGGGCTCCCGCCACTTCTTGATGAAGTTCAGAGACTTCTTGCCTTCACAGAGCATCTCCGTAGAAAGAAAACAAAAATCCACACAAACGGACCCACAAGCAGCATCACAATAAACAGAGGCGACGTCTCTTGCAATTGTTGAGGATGTCATTTGACTTGGATCCCCAATCAATGCAGCGGTCAGGGAATGATACTTTGCATTGGGCAGATCTTTTGCAAACCCCCCACCCCAAACCCCTTTAAAGTTTTAAAAAGCAAAGACGTCAATGTGAAGACTAACGTATAGCTGCCCCAACTCATGGCATCTCCAAATGCATCTCATACAATGCGAAGATCACGGGCTGTCATGAACTCGTCCCACAGAGCCGGTGCGCGTCATCAGAAGAACCAATGGCTGCTTGATACGCAGGGGGTCAGTGGAAAAGAGGAAGATCTGAAGGAGAGGGGAGGTCACAAGGGGGGCTCACACACGGCAGTGTCTGGGGGGCCTGGCCAGGGTTTGGGTCTGCTGTGCACAGTGGGGTAGCTATGAGCTGGGGCAAACTCAATGGCCCAACCAACAATCTATCCAAGAGCCTCCAGAAGCTTACAGAAACATCCACTTTTTACACAAGTGTTAAACACACATATACAGATTTGTTTGACATTCATGAAAAACCAGCTCATGGTTGTAAGTGTTCATCATGCCAGGAAGCTTGGTGGTGGTCCTTGTCAGTCCGCTCACAGTGACCCTGTGTACAACAGAAGGAGACCCTGCCCGGTGTCAGCCCCCGGTTGCAGCCACTGTGGGAATCTATCTTGTCGAGGGTCTTCCTCTTTTTCACTACCCTTCTATTTGAGCAGGTACTAAATTACTTGTATTAGATCAGAGTAATCATTAAGAGGGTTAACATCTCTTCACAAAAGAAAACCATTACAAGAAAAGTTTAAGTCTCCCATGACCTCATCCCTACCCGGCTTAGTTCTCTGCCAATCCCAAGTCTAATATGTATGCCCGGCTTCAAATCCACTTCCCACCTCACCCCGCACCCAGCTCTCTGCACTTTGGGCCTCAGGAGGTAACTCCTTGGCAACACATATTCCTTAGGGGCTCCTCAACACTTCGCCACCCCTTGGTGGGCTGCCCTCCTGTGGCGATCTGGTTTGAGTGTGCCGCCTGTCTTCTGTTGGGACTCTGACCAACGCAGTCCATATGTTACAAATGGATGTTGTGGTAGTCACCTAATCTGGTGTCAATTTAAGGATTAAGAGTGTAGGGGTGAAGTCTAGGTTGTCAATCTGGAGATAGCCAATGAGACTTCTGTGTGGGCATGGCCTTCTCCTGAAAATTCTGGGAAATCTGGGACTTCCTCCTTGGAGGCGGAAGACACCTCTCCGCGACTCCCTGGGAGACACTGCAGAAGACAAGTCACATGGAACTACCGTAGTGCCCTGAGCTGGACAAGCCACATGGACGCAACCAGACCTCAGAAGCAGGAGAAGCCAGAGAGACCCCTGCCAGCGCTGAGATGCTTACAACGCCACTGGACCCAAAGACTTTCTACCCACTGGTTTGTGATCACCCTGCATTTGGCTTCATTGCATGTGTTTCCTGAGTCTGAAGAGGACTTTATAGATTGGTATCGGACATATGGGCTAATATCAGACTTATGGATTTGGACTGGACTGAGCTGGGATGTTTCCTCAATGTTCAATTCCTCTTGTATATAAATCTCTTTCTTATACACGTGTGTTTATGAATTTGTTTCTCTAGTCTACCTAGACTAACACAGATGTTTATTTAAATAAGAAAATATTGCCTAATAATGGAAAGCAAAAGGCATTGCATAATTTAACTTGTAATCTTAACTAGTTCATTTGAAGATGCCAAATAGCATCAGACACTGACACAGGCAGTGGGCTGTGCACTCTCCACGTTACAGAAGCAGTCGGTGTGCGGTCCTCGCGGGGCACTGACCTCTCGGTTTCCTGAGTGATAGGGCAGTCTGCTCATCACGGCGTCCAGCTCATCCAGCTTCCGCAGGACGGCCTGCACCTCGGCCGAGAGCTCCTTGTACTCGGAGAACTGGTCTTGGAACACAGCTTTGTAGCGTTCCCGTTCGTCGTCGTTCTGAATCACAGGGTATTTTCTGAGGGGGGAAAATGAAGTAGAACATTATAATCTTTTCATTAAAATCAGCTGGACAACAGAAAAGTGGGTGAAGGGAGATGAGGGACCGTGTAAGATATGACATAATAATTTATAAATTATCAAGGGCTCATGAGGGAGGGCGGAGCAGGAAGGGAGGGGAAAAATGAGGAGCTGATATGAAGGGCTCAAGTAGAAGGCAAATGTTTTGAGAATGATGAAAGCAACAAATATACAAATGTGCTTGACACATGGATGGATGGATGGATTGTGATAAAGTTTGGCTTGTTCTCCATGATCATAAAAAGAGTCAAAGAATCCAGTTCGCCGCCATGACTCACAGTGACCCAGTGGGGCAGGATAAGTTAGAAAGGGCACGTCTTCCTCCCTTGGAGCAGCTGCTGGTTTTGCACTGCTGAGCTTGCAGTAGGCAGTCCAACTCACGACCACTGTGCCACCAGGGCTCACTGACCAGATTCCCCTTCAATTCAACCCTCTATCATTCAGGTAACAGACAACAGCTGTCTAAACAGCCAGTATTTTGAGCAGAGGGCAGGTTCGGAGACCAAAGGGTGCTGGGAGGTGGGAGGGGCAGTGGTACTCACGCCACGTAGTCAGGCATCACGATAGGTTTAGGGATGTGGCCCGAGGGGATGTGACCACTCCGCAGTTCAGGCTTCCTTTTGGCTTCTCCCAATTCTTTGAAATTCACTTCTGGGTCTCTCAGTCTGTCACAGCTGGTCGACATTTCATACTGTGGTGAAGGAGGGAAAGAGGGCTGATTCATCGACAGTGAACTGACGGATGGCACTGAACAACAACAAATCAAGCTTCAGTAGTGCTTCCAGATTAAGGAGAAGGGCCTGGTGGGACGGGGGTGGGGGGTAGAAGAGCAAAAGAACCCCTCTAGCCAAAGAAAAACCTAGAGATCACAATAGTCTGATCCCATCGAGCGCAGGTTGCCAAGAGTCAGAGGCAACGCACAATTACAACTAGTAACAATCAAAACAATGGCAAGAGAATGAAACTAGTTCAGATGAGAAATTCGAGGATAAAAATGGGTGGATGCACCCATAGCCATCGAATCCCTTTAGCCTCCGAGTTCTGATCGACTGTAAACCTCACGGACAGCCAGCCGCACCGCGCTCTCTCAGAGGGGCCAGTCCGTTCGCAGCCAGGCTTCCTTCAAAATGGCACTAGACAAGTCAAATGAAACGAGGAGAAGCTGGCACGGACTGATTACAGGTAGCTAATGAGTAGGTCAAAGAGGAAGGAGTTGCACTGTTTTCATTAGCTGACAGGACAAGCTTGCAAACTTCCTGCCTCCCCCCTACACCCCTCTGTTATTTACTTTTTTAATGTTTTTATTGAGAACTGGGTGGCGGTTGACTGAGCAGATCAGCTCTCCATTCAACAGTTCATATTTACATTTTGTTCTTGTCTTTGATGGCAATCCCCACGATGCAACATCACTGCCCCCAGTACTTGTGTTCCCCATGCCCATTCCTCCTTTATTAACCCTTCTGTGCTTTGTCCTCAGGAAAAGGCTGCCTTTTTCATCTCAAGTGGTGGATTAAAGTGTGCATAATGCTCTCGTGTTCGTGTTCCCCTTACAGACCCATCGACTGGCCGAACCATGGCGGTGAGCTCATTTCCAGACCTGAGGACAATAGGGGCGGGACTTCTACCAGTTTCTATCGGTCTGGAGGGGAACGGGAAAGCAAGGCTGAGCACCCCCACAAGCCAGAACAAAAGGCCCAAGATACCGGGAAGCGAGACCAGATATTCCGAGTACAAAGGCAACTGCAAGGAATTGACAAATGATTCTCAGCGTGGCGTGGCCAGACCCCATCTGCTAATTGCAACACAATCCAGACGTTCTTTAAAGACCTGCATCCTGACTGCTGGGCATGACTTCCCTGGGCTACTTGCTAGCCCACGGAACCTCGTCCGGGAGTTCCCTCTAATAAAGCTACTGTGGTTTCTGCTCTCTCTTATCCTGTCAGCTAGCTTTGTCCGTCTCCTTGTGCCTCAGTTTACCTTACACCATCTGACCTGTAAGCCCAGTTCTTTTTTATGTGTTTGGTATCATGTGTTTTCTCTCGCTCTACCCAGGACCTTCTAGAGTTGGAAGTGATAGCTGGGCACCATCTAGTTCTTCTAGTCTCAGGGTCATGGAAGAAGTATGAAAACTCACCCAGGAAGAAATCCTCCCTGATCTTCAGTATGTCTAAATCCAGAGGAGCCCGTACTGACCACAGAAGAAAGGCAGTGGCTGTCTTGAACTTGCCCAAGTGTTCTTAACCTGTGGCTCCCTGAAAATGGCTACGAAAATCCCAGCTGTCATCCTGGTTCCCAAAAGGAAGGGCTCGCAGGAGCCTATTTTTAATTTTTAAAAAAGGGGGGTGTTGTACCCTAAAGGAGTAAAGAAATTGAACACAATAAGCAATGGTCCACAGAGGAGTAGGAAGGACCGGACTTAGAGCTCAAATAGCTGATGGAGGGAAAACAGGAAAGGTAGACCCCGAGTATCCACTTTGGCAATGGGCTGGCAAGGACAGATTGGCAGCCTTGGGGCTGGGAACACTGCTGATAAGAGTGGGGGATGACAGAAGTGGGGTTTCCTTGCATTACATACACAACAGAGTGAGAATCAGAGAGGCTAAATCAATTCCCCAAAACTACACCACAACAAATTGGAAAAGCTACAATTAAAACCCAGAACTATTTGGCTCATTGATACTTTAAGTGAAAACCCTGTTTACTTAAATTGTTCATGCACTAAAGTCCCATGAGAAGTGAGTATGTGTGATTGACAGAGCAGGATTGGCTCAAGAAAAACAATTGGAATTACATTTGTTGAACCTGAACGAAATTGAGAGTAGCTTGGGGGAGGGTCCTCTACGTTCACTGAAAACAAAATGCAAAACAGGCTTGTAGATCCTCCCACCCTTCCTCTTTATCTCCCGGGCAGCCTGCATTTGGAACCCTTTGTTTGATTTAACAGAGCTCATTCTGAAGTCACCTGCTGTGAACTGGCTAAACAGCGCAATGGGACAAGGACTCTGGAAGGCAGCCCTCAGGGAAGGTTTTGAAAAGCAGAAGCTCCACAGTTCCACCGAGGCCCTGGGAGGGGACCCTGGCTCACCCATGGCTGTCTCTGGGCCCATAAGGGTCCTAAAATGATTTTGTTTCATCTTGTTAAAACGCTCGTTCGATTGCTATTTCTTCACCCTTGTAAAATCTGTTGGGAGACAGAGGTAGCTTTCTACTCCTGTTCCGGTCTCAGAAACCCAGAGGGGCGGTTCTTACTCCGTCCTTACCAGTTGCTGCGAGTTGGAATTGACTTGATGGCAGTGAGGTTTTTGTTTGTTTGTCTTTTGAGTTTAAGACATTTTGTATCTGAGGGTTCCAAATTTGAGGATTCAAGCACCCCAATTCAGATGGAAGATATTGAGAGGGGGAAAATGCTCCTGAAAGACAATTCCGTGGCCAAAGCAATCCCCCAAAGGCTGAGAGCGAGCAGGTAAGTGCTGTTCGCACAGCATTTACATGGTAAGCAATCCAGGGGTGACTGAGTGCACTGGAGGATATGTGTCAGCTACATGTAAAGACAATGTCATTTAATCCGCGCCTGTGAGCATCCACGAGTGGGGTCCCCCACAGCTTCTGAGAGATGGCTGTACTCACACTTGATAAAGAACGAGGATATTAAGATGGTTGCTGCGTCTAAGGAGGTGATCCCCATTCAGTGACTACATGGGCAGCACAGCAGAACTGCCCAGCGGCTTTCCCGAGCTGAAATCTTTATGGGCACACCTCCAGCTCTTCCCCACCCCCCCATGGAGCCTCGGGCTGGTTCAGACCAAGGACTTTTTGGCTAGCAGGTAAGCACTTAACCAATGGCTCTTCTCGGTCTCCTTGGCTTAAACATTAGGGGGCGCTTTCTGGTTAGACTAAATGGGTCTCTATTGATATGGCCCCTCTCTCTATCTTCCGAACAGTTAACAATCCCAGTTTCCCGAGGCTGGCTGAGGAAGTGAGAGGCTCAGAACCAGCCGGGTCTCAGAAGCACCCGAGGGCATCAAGCTCAGATTTCCTCGCCAAGGTCAGGCATCACCCAGGTTGACTACACACTGGGCGGCTGAGCGAAAGGTCGGGAGTTGGAAACCACCAGTCGTTCTGAGGGAGAAAGACAAGGCTTTTTCATTCCAGAAAGATTTACAGTCTCAGGAACCCACAGGGGCGGTTTTAGTCTGTCCTCTACGGTCGACACGAGTCAGAATCAACTAGATGGCAGTGAGTTTCAGGGTTCTGTTCTTTGATCCTTTAAAAAGTGAGGCTATCACTGATGTTAAGGGGTGGGGCGGAGGGCAAATGTTTTGAGATTGATGAGGGCAGCGAATGTAT